GGCACCAGAAGGTCAAAACCAGGGTATTTGAAAAGCTTCAGGTTCAATCACGAGATTTTGTCCTTATCACTGGGCTCTGTATCTCAGATACACTCTGAGATACTCAGCGGGTGGGAGGGGGCTGCAGTGTGCCCCAACCCCTGAGCTCTGCCTGGGGGAGCCTGTCTAGGTTCATGTAGGGCCTGGTCTAAAGTTTGATGCATTTTCCTTACATTTAGTGCAGTGGCAGCTACAGCCAAATACTTCAATCCTCTGAGCACAGAGCCAGGTTCTCCGTGAGTACAAATACTCAGATCAACAGATCTTTGCTTCTTTATGCAAACGGAGGATCCAGACCATAACTTCAGAAAAAATACCCCACATATTTCCCTTTTCACTCAGTCTGAACAGTTTCAGAAAGGTCAGCTGAGGGTAGGAGTCTCCTTCTCTCCTCTGGTGTTAGCTTCTAGTGTCACCCTCATTACGAAAGTGATAATTTACATCACCAAATAAGTGGTTTTTCACCACCATTCTGCAGGAATTATCATTAGTGAAGGCAGCGCAAGCGGCAATTCTGCAAAACAAAGAGGGTCGAAAGGATGCTAGAGCACTATTTCCCAGAGTGTTATTTTGTATCCACAGCCCTGAGCCCCCCGGGTATCGATATCTCAGGGACGTGGGTACTGTCACCTTTCACTGTGCACTAACCACAGCTCCTGGGGAAAAAAGTTCAGAGGATGGGGAGGGGGTGACAAACTCAGCCTCTCTGCTTGGCTCCTGCATTGGGCAGGAGGGGATGTAAACTTTTCCCTCTGGGTCCATACAAAGGCCTGATCCAGAGCCCGGGGAAACAGAGAGGAAGACTTTTTGTGATTTCCCCAGGCTTGGGATGAGGCCACGCAAAGCCTGGTCCTCCCACCGGCTGCTCCCCTCCATCCCCCATTGAGTCATGAGGAATTTGGAGGATCTGTATCTGTGCAAGGTTGAGCCCTTCCAGTCCTGATTTAAGAAATGCGTGCAGAAGTAAAGCGAGTTTTAGTGTCTGACTATATCCGTGTTCATTTCCAAAAGCGGGACGCTAGATAGCTGAGTTAGGTTGTAGTCAACTAACCCTCATTTAAACCCAGAGCTGGAAATTACTTTGCGATGCTTCACAACTTAAAAAGTATCGAAATTCCGTATGAAAACTATCGCTTAGAGAGAGAGCCTTAGTAGGTTTGGTTTATGGGTTTTGATTTAAAAAAAAAAAAGCCTAACCATAGGGGATATCATTTGAACTTGAAAAATACATGTGAAATGATGGTGGTAGCAGACACGTCTTAAATGGTGAATGAATTTTAAAAAAAATGAAGCAGTAAGTGTGATTGGTTGCATACACTCTAAATCGCTACTTACTTCTCACCGCTTCCTCAAATACTTGTTCCCTGGGGAATATTCATGATCCATACATGCTACATAACAGAAAATACACAGCCAGTTCCTTTCTATTACTTCCCATTAAAATGTATTTTCTGAAGTTTCTCTCTGTGGACATCTCTTAAAACTTGATGTTATCAATGGATACTTTTTTTTTTTCCATTTTAAACATGTTGTATCATTCTGTTTATTATGTTTTTTAGTGTGAGCAGATTGTATTTATTTGAGAAAAATGTTTGCTGTTTAAAAAAAGACCAATAATTGTATTGCCAAAAATAGCTGTAATTACCTGTGACATCTGTATTTTTTTATTTTGGGGGGGTTGGTTGGTTGTTTTTAATCTCAGTTTCAAGTGCTAACAACTGTTAAAACAACCACTGCATTTTTATTTGCTTATTACATTAAATGGATTTCTCGAAAGTCGGACAAAAATGTCTCATAGATGATTTAACAAAGATGCCACGCACCCACACCTTGCCCCTCCTATTTAAATTTTCCCCTCAAGCGTGTTGGACTTTGCAGAGTAAATATTCTGACACAGACCTTCAATGAAGTGCCCCTTCAGAGGGGGAGAAATACCCAGCAGTGTTTTCAGTGGCTTCAGCAAGGTGTAGGTAGGAAAAAAACATTTGTTTTCTATTCTCTAGGGATATAACTATTTCTCTAGGCATATGCCTAGAGAATAGGTGTATTGGGACCTTGAAACAGAAAGGGATTGGGGCTGTTTCTCAGGTGGGATTGCAAGTGCTGCCCTCACCACATCCCTTTTGGGATGCCCACACGGATGGCATGTAAGCCTCAGAAACCCCAAAGAGAAAGGGCAATTTGTGTTATGTTTTCCTTCCCTCCACTAAAGATGAAATTCATTTATTTGACAGCAGATGGCACAAAACCATCTCAAGTCTGGTTTCCCTCTGGGCTGGAGGCGGGTGGCTTCAGTCTCTCTGCTGCTTGATGGCTTTTTCCCTGAGTTATTTTACTGTCAGGTTTAGATATGTGGAACTGGAAATAAACCTTTTAAACCAAAGCAATGTTTACCTTTACAACACATATCTTCTTTCTTGATCTGGATTTTTTAATCCATCAGCCAGTGAGACTCTCTCCTTTCATGCCAACTACATTAAACTTTCTGGCCTGGAGCTCTGTTTTCCCAGAAAACTTATTATGATTAACCTAAAAGCCATAGCTTTTATCAATCAAGTATACACTAATAGAGTGACGCAATCCCATGCATCTGAAAGTGTAATGGAAACAGGTCCTAATAACTTAGAAGTGACATGCATAATGTATTTATAATTACCCATTTTGTCCAGTTCACTCAAAACCGTGTGCTGCAAATGCACACAGTTTTTAAACCATATTTCTTACTTGATTAAGGTCAGCTTATTTTGACAATATTAGTCATTTGCCCTAAACGTTGGGCTTTTTTTTTTTCCATTTTAAACATGTTGTATCATTCTGTTTATTATGTTTTTTAGTGTGAGCAGATTGTATTTATTTGAGAAAAATGTTTGCTGTTTAAAAAAAGACCAATAATTGTATTGCCAAAAATAGCTGTAATTACCTGTGACATCTGTATTTTTTTATTTTGGGGGGGTTGGTTGGTTGTTTTTAATCTCAGTTTCAAGTGCTAACAACTGTTAAAACAACCACTGCATTTTTATTTGCTTATTACATTAAATGGATTTCTCGAAAGTCGGACAAAAATGTCTCATAGATGATTTAACAAAGATGCCACGCACCCACACCTTGCCCCTCCTATTTAAATTTTCCCCTCAAGCGTGTTGGACTTTGCAGAGTAAATATTCTGACACAGACCTTCAATGAAGTGCCCCTTCAGAGGGGGAGAAATACCCAGCAGTGTTTTCAGTGGCTTCAGCAAGGTGTAGGTAGGAAAAAAACATTTGTTTTCTATTCTCTAGGGATATAACTATTTCTCTAGGCATATGCCTAGAGAATAGGTGTATTGGGACCTTGAAACAGAAAGGGATTGGGGCTGTTTCTCAGGTGGGATTGCAAGTGCTGCCCTCACCACATCCCTTTTGGGATGCCCACACGGATGGCATGTAAGCCTCAGAAACCCCAAAGAGAAAGGGCAATTTGTGTTATGTTTTCCTTCCCTCCACTAAAGATGAAATTCATTTATTTGACAGCAGATGGCACAAAACCATCTCAAGTCTGGTTTCCCTCTGGGCTGGAGGCGGGTGGCTTCAGTCTCTCTGCTGCTTGATGGCTTTTTCCCTGAGTTATTTTACTGTCAGGTTTAGATATGTGGAACTGGAAATAAACCTTTTAAACCAAAGCAATGTTTACCTTTACAACACATATCTTCTTTCTTGATCTGGATTTTTTAATCCATCAGCCAGTGAGACTCTCTCCTTTCATGCCAACTACATTAAACTTTCTGGCCTGGAGCTCTGTTTTCCCAGAAAACTTATTATGATTAACCTAAAAGCCATAGCTTTTATCAATCAAGTATACACTAATAGAGTGACGCAATCCCATGCATCTGAAAGTGTAATGGAAACAGGTCCTAATAACTTAGAAGTGACATGCATAATGTATTTATAATTACCCATTTTGTCCAGTTCACTCAAAACCGTGTGCTGCAAATGCACACAGTTTTTAAACCATATTTCTTACTTGATTAAGGTCAGCTTATTTTGACAATATTAGTCATTTGCCCTAAACGTTGGGCAGTTGCAGAGAAGTGCCAGAAGAGGATCTGCCAAAGCCTTTTTGGAAATCAGTACACGTGGCTACATGATGAAAAGAGGCTCTGCCTACAACAGGCTTGGATAAATCTTGTGGTGTTACTGGGCATCAGACTCCCAGGAAACTCAAAAAGCTTCACTATGGCCCAGACTGCTCTTGAAATAATCCCCTGCAAGGGGACACAGGAAACCCAAATTTTGCCACCAGCCCTCTGGGACCTCCTTGAGGTAGTCATCCCTCTGCTCCAGTGCTCAGCAAACCTTTCACAACCACCTCACCAACACTTTTCATTCCCCAGAGAGCCACAAACCACACACAGCAACATCACCTTCCTCTCCTTAGTTGTTTTGTGGGATCCCTGTGAGCAGAGCAATGCCAACCTCCCACGCACGTGGCGGTACAAGAGCAGAGCGACACAAAATCCAGGGATTTAAACCACACAGCTGGGTTTTCAAGCAATCTTGCCAATGGCTGCACTACGGCGGTGTCCACTAAATAAGCTCTACCTTCCTGGGTGCCTCCCCACCTTGGGGAATTAAATCCTGGGGTCCTTGGTGGGGTTAGCCCAGGTCCCCAGGGCCCACGTTTCTCTTTACCTGCTTCCATATACATCTCCCCTGCAGAGAAGCTGAGCGAGACAGAGCTGGAGGGGGTGCAAGGTGAAGTCCCCCTGGTCCTCTCGCCCACCAGTTCCATTTTAGGGACTGAGAGGTCACCAATTTCTCAGCAGTCGCCAACACATGGGAAAGGTGAGACGGGGGAGAAGCGAGTGGAACAGCAGCGGGAAGGCGAGGAGGCAGAGCCCCCGGCAGTGATGAAGTCATGGTAAACCCGCTCCCCCCGTGCTGAAAAGGGACGGGCTGCACAGAGAGAGGAAGCCAGCACAGACCGACACCGGCGCCCACACCACAACATGACTTTCACCAGGGTGCTGCAAGTCACGGCTCTGCTCCTGATGCAAGGTAAGCCACACGCCTGCTCTTACCCCGTCTCCCCTTGGCCAGGGAACTCCATCTCCAGAGCTCCAGCACACCTCGCGCTGCTTTGCTGCTGTCATGTTCTTATCAACAATGCTCTTTTGTTACCCAATCTCCCAAGCATTCTGGTGCTGGACTCCTAAACCCAGTATTGATGAGATCAATTCCCACCCTAGCAACTGGTGGCACGCTCAGGATGGCGAAATCAAAAGATTTTCCCTTAAATTTGAATAGCAGATCACTGCTTACTTTCCATGGCTTCGATATCTGCTTATGCCTTTCTTCACATATTGTGTAAAAAGAGGTTCATATAAGAAGTCAGAGTAATTTAGAAAGCTCTTGCAAAGTACTTTGGAAATGAAAAGCACTTTAAATGCTCAATCTCCTTACTCCTCCTAGAGGATGCAGCTTATCCCTGCTTTGCTAATCTCCTCTCTTTCATACACAGGGGAGTGTGTAAGGTTCGTATTTGACCATGTCAAATAGGGAAAGGCTTAATTTGAATTAAGGGAAGCAGCAAGACAGTGATCCTTGCAGGCTTCACTCCTGACCTTTGGCAGGGGGAACGCACGCTCTGCCCTGGTGCTGGTCCCAGCAATGGTCCCTCTCCTTTCTTAACAACCACTGGAGCAGGAACCGCAGCAGCTCTACTGCTGAAGCTTTGCTAATGCTCTCACACACCAGCGTCTTGTTAACAGAGGCCACATCAAATCTCAGGGTCTAAACAGTGACAAGGCATTCTGTAATACCGCACGCTTCGGGTATTTTGTTACCAATGATTGTGTTTAACAGAAGCCAGGCCTTTAAAGAGCTGTCATTTCTGTCCCAGCTGAGGGAGAGCCTGCAGCGCTCTTTAGATTTGCTCCAAATCAACAGATTTCACTCTGTTTCAGTGCACAACCTCTCTTCCCCCAGTACTGCCACAGACTCCTATGTGGATGAATTCCTACCTGCTCACAACTGCTGGCTGCTCTTGGCCATCAGAATTAGTTCAGACTCCCCACACGCAGGTCTGCAGCCAGAGGTCAGAAATAACTCATTAAACAGGATGTCTCTAGAGGCTACGGTTTTAAAGATAACTCTGAAATGATGCATTGAGTGCGTACGGCCACAGCAAATTCTCTGCATTTTCTGCTGGCTAAAATAACAGCAACCGGGGGCACAGACCATCCAGCTCACTTGCACCCTGCAATTTCTAGCAATGAATTATTGCCCTTTCTTGCCAAGACGGTGGATATATCACTGTACTTGATGCCAGACTAATTTTTCCAGGCAGCCAGGGCACCCAGGACCTACATGGTACAAGAACCACTGGAGCAGCTCCCACGCCCTGGTGACTGTACTGTGGTGGGCTACAGTGGCTTGAAGACCATAGCCACCTCAAAGTGCCCCCCTGTATGAGGAGGGAAATTTGACCTCTGAGTCATGGTCTGAATGGAGCCATTGTCTCTTGTGGAAATTACAAATATGCTCTGTTCTGGGGGCTGCTTTTCTCTGTTTTAGATAAGCAAGGAACACTTTCTTGTGCAGTCTTGCTGTTCTCACCTCAAAAGGTGCAACTTGAAAGACCCCACACGGCTGCTAGTGACAGGAAACTGTCACTGAAAAAACACAGAAAGGCCCCGTGGAAAACCACAGACAAGGCCCTCTCAATTGTCTTAACATCATGCACCTCCTGACACAGGTCTTCACAAGTGGAAACCTTGCACGGAGCTTTTCCTTTTGCTACAGCTCCTCTCTGAACTACCCCCCCGTGTCACAAGCCCTGAGAAACTGGCTGGAACACTAATTCTAGGAAATGGAGGTGGAATCAAGAGGAAATACAAGCGAAAGGCACTGGTGTCCCATATGTGATGGTAAATCAGTTACAGCCACTCTTAAGTTCAACAGGGCTTCGCCGGTGCACAGCAATTCCATCAACCCAACCTGTGGTGTCTCCTGGCACCGTGCTGTAAGGACAGACATCAGACCTGTATCGCACAGTTTCTCCTGAGCTAAAGCAGCATACTTATAAATTTGGAAGTAAAAATACAGAGGTATTACACAGAAATCTCTTCTACAAGCTTATAGACTCCAAAGCTTAGATAGTGGGGAAAGATAAAGGTCCATGGTGTATTTGTGGAGACCCAGCTGCACCACTGTCCATTTTTCTGTGCCACCTCTGGCCCAGGCAATGTCACATGTGCCCAACTCAAGGGTGAGGCGTGCGATGCCCATGGGAAACCACTGTCTTATAGGGACACAAGTCCTTCTCCTGATGTGAGTGGTAAAGGATTAGGTCCAGCAAGAATGCCCTACAATAGCTTCATTTCTGGTATATTTTAAAATGTTTCTAAGAAAATGAAAAGCTTTCCTGAAGCCCAGAGAGATTCATTTCCCCAAACTGCAGTGCTCATGTATGCAGTAGGAACTTGCAGCAGACAGTTAGCTGGAAAATAACATCAAAACACACAGAACAGGAATGAAAAATAAAACCCTCCTAGTGCCTATTTACTTAACTCTGACCCAGGCACTGCTCTTAGTAATTTCTCCAGGGCATGCTGTTTTCTGGAGAAGGCAATTCATTCCAGGTCATCAAATATTTTCACAAAGTGTATTATATATCTTAGAATGTCTGGAGAGAAAAACACACTTTATTGCCCATCTGTAAGATGAACTGGGAGGCGAGAGAATGAAATTTCATTTTAGTAACCTACGCCAGGCCAGCTTTGCTGATCCCAACTCCAAAGAAGTTTCAGAGCTGGTTCAAAGCAGTTGCAGCGTTACAATTTCTGAATAAAAAAGCCTCATTTTTCAGGGCATTGATCATTCACTGCTCAGTCGCACACACTTGCAAATCACATTCAGCAGCTCCAGAAGGGAACATCGAATAATGAAAATTAGCGTTTGTGTTAACATACAGGGAGAACGTGCATTAAATTCTTCATTGACTCATGTGGAATAAGATTTAATAACTAAATCTGGTTGTGTTAGCAGATGAAGATCACAGACCCTTGGAAAATGTCTTACCCAGTGACTGCAATGACATAATCACTGTGATTTATTTATATCAGTACAATCATATTGGCAAGTTTTCTAACACTCCTTTACACCCTTGAAAAAGGAAAGTTGACATCTTACTCTGTCGAAACGCTTTACTTCATGTCCCATTTTAATACTTGTTTTTTCCTCTCTGACAGGGCATTTTCCAGGGGCTGGCAGTGAAACCATAACTCTAAAGGAAGGAGAGGACCTCAATCTGCGCTGCACGCTCAGCGGTGACAAGGGTTCTGCCCGGCAGTGGTTAAACCCTCATGGGTTTGCCATTTTTCTAAACACCGAGCGGGGTAAGTGTGAAAACCAAATGCAGCACTTTCCACTTGGGGCTGGAGGGTCACTCCAAAGTGGGCTTTCCGAGCTCCCACCCGTTGCCAAGCTGACTCACCTGCTACCCGACCACTCGAGATGGTTTTACACTCAGCCCCTTTCTGGCAGGAAGCTGATGAAATGGAAACCCCCACAAGAGTGGTCAGGCACTAGAGCTTTTAGCAATGAACTGTGGTTACCACCAGCACCAAGAGATTAGCACAAAAACTCACTCTTGCCTTACAAGAGAGACAGGAGTGGATGTGACTGAAAGCCCTGGGCACATCTCTGCTCAACAGGGAATTCGATGTAGTGCATCAAGAGGAAATTTTTTGAAAACAAGAAGTGATTTCTAATACGTGCTGACAAAGCCAAAGTTACAATTATTGTGTTCCCTTCCACTCCCTACACCTCATGTCTCTCTGTCCTTCTCTCTCCTCCTGTTGGTCCAAATTCAACAGCTCTGCAAGATGAAGACCACCTTGGTCCTCCCCGTTTGTACAGTGCTGAGTCAGCATCCCTGCTTGCCAGAGCCTTTAGATTTTAATGATAATAATGGCTGGGATCTATCCAAATGACACTGGGTACCCAACTCCCACTGAAACTGCCCAGGAACCAAGGGTTCTCTTTGGCTGCTCTGGCAATCCCAGCCACTAGGTCTTGTCACCTGCATCAAACCAGCCCACTAATGTTTCCTGCAAGCATTGCCGATATTTCTGTATGGAAAATATCATGAGTAACTGTTGCTGCTATTTACTCAGTTACAAGAGCAAGTGGGATGAGTGTTCTTTAGCACGTTTAAATGACTTGCACATTTATGTATTAGAAACTGTTTCCTGTGGAATCCAAGATCCCAAGTTCTGTGCTCTCAATATAACGCATGCGAACCATTAGATTCAAATGGGATCTAAAAAACCTCAGTGCTTGAGCCACTGACAGCTAATCAGTATGGGAAATAGGGCTATTGCAGCCCACCCTGGGTTCCTTAGACATCCAGGCTTCCAAAAAACCCATTCCCCATTTAAACTCTCCATCAGTTATTTTCGACCTATATGTAAGTTCTCAGCATTTTATGCTGTAGAGGTAGGACAGAATTCCTTCATTTATGCCAGTTTTCTACAGCCCTGGCTACAGCCACAAACACTCTCTTTCTATGCATACAATTTTGGACTGAGACACTTTATTCTGCCCATATCCAGTTTTAAACATCTCCATCTTTTAATGGCTCTAGCCCTTTTTGATGCATAAAGTTTTGCTGAATTGGCAATTTAATAAGGTTAGGGAAAGATCATATCCACTAGTAGGATAGGAGTAGACTGTAAACCAAGTGAATAAAACAGTATCTGTCTTAAATCACCTGAGGATTCAACCATAGTTTCAACATCCCACGATTATCCTTCAGTAAGATGCATGATATAACACCCACAAGGACTAGAGTTTGCAAAGCTTTTGGATCCTTGATAAGTCAGACGCGCTGAATATTTTCCTTTTGCAATACAAAAGAAAACAGTCCTCATTTAGAGAATCACCACTGTGAATTGCTGTCACGTTGCTTCTCCAAAAAACCACTTTGTGAATCAGTTCCCTCCAGTCTCACTGTAGCTAAAAAAATGACAAGCTAACTACAAGTCTTACACCATGGTGATTTCAAAATCCTTTAATATTTAATCACTTCCATAAATTATAGTACTGCTATGATTTTCTCCCAAATCTGTATTTTTACAAGACCTCAGCTTAAAAAAAAATAAACTAAAAACACAGATTGATGTGTTTTTAGTGATGACTGATACACTTCCCCAGTTTCATTTCAATTTAAGGGCAGAAAGTTACACTTTCTGTGCTGCAATTGTGGGAAAAGCCCATGTGACTTGCTGGCCTGACCCCGAGGACTCCCATGGGTCATGCAGGAGGAAGAATGAAGCAGAGACTAGAAAGTTGCGAGAAAGAAAGGGGACTGTACAGCAAAGTACAGATATCCTAGGAGATGGTCTCATTAAAATCAAGGTGATTAGACAAGCTAACTAATAAGCAGTTAATAAAGAGGTATGTGCTGACCATAGTGTTCATTTATATATCACAAAATACACCCAAAGGGGGGAAGTGATTTTTTTCAAGGCCAAATAAAGGCTAGGGAAATGGGGAAGGAAAAGGTCCTCAGTTCATGCCTCCATGCTCTAAATTCAAAGGTCCTATTACTTTTCTGACTACATACCATGTCCTCACACTCCAATGTTTGCTTATGTTTATCCATCTAGACACTTAAATAACCCAAATTGCTGTAATACCTGGGAACAAAGGAATTGGATTCCCTGAAAATAAAAGCAAGAAAAAACATGTCATTTTTCCAGCTGGCAGCACACCCCCTCCTTCTTCAGTTTACTGCACAGTGCAGCACCAGCTAGGAATGCTCTCTGCTAGAACCACTCCCTGACGTCAAGTGTAGATAAATAAAAAAAAAATTAAATAAAAAAAACTATCCTCATTCATTACTGCCGTGATTATCTGCCTTCCTCTTAAGTACCAACACGCATAGCATGTTGAGTTTTATTTTCCTTACAGCTTTAAGAGATGAGAGGTACAAACTTATCCATTATTCAGAGGATGAATTATCCATCCAACTGTCTAATGTAACAGTGCACGATGAAGGCGTATATAAATGCTTCTACTATGGCACTCCATTCCAAAGCGAGAACAAGACCGTCAAGGTTTTAGGTAAGTTCCTTCACCTGCTTTGCTCCAGAGGAGCAGAACAACAAAGACAGCTCCTCAATCCCCAACCTACATTTTTGCATGCAATTGTATGGTGCTTAACACAATATAATCCCGGTCTTAGCTCAGTCCCCCCAAATAATGCTGTGTATGATCTGTTCATACAGCCGAGTAGAAAAGTGTGCTATAACTGATTCTAAATCTTCTTGCTGCAGCTGCTCCTTCTAACCCAGTAGTGGAAGTATCCCAAGACACAGGAAGAAGCATTACACTGTATTGCCATACCCAAGGATGTAATCCACAGTCCCAGATTACCTGGCTGCTGGACAACGGGATAGAGCTCCCTGGTAAGTGTTAAAGAACCAGGGATTGACTACCAGCAATTTCTTATCAGCCTTAGGCGTGTTTAAAAATACTGGCGGGTGAAACACTTTCTGCAACATATCATCTGGGACTACCACTCATTTAGTAAAACTTGGCCCCCATGGCGCAGGTTTGGAGGAAAGCCAGCCCTAAATTCCAGTGTTTGTGCAGGGGAGAAGGCTCATCTGCCTTGCTCACATTCGGTGTAGAACACCACCACTTGGCACCAAAACCCCTGGAGAATCGGGAGTGAAATTCCACTGAAATAAAATGAAACCAAAACTCTGAAGGCACAACATTCAAAGCCCCAGTATAAAGTCAGTTAACAAGTCCATCATAACTATTTCCATGTTGTAACTGGTAGCGAGGCAGCTCTCGAGCAGAAGCAAGAGGAGAGCTCAGGAACCACAGCCCATGTCACCCTGCGAGGCTCTGCCTGGGGACAGGTCTCTGGGGGTCTGGGTGGACACACGTGAGGAGGAACACAGCCACCACAAAGCTCAAGGGAACTTGTGTACTATATAAATAGCTGCTCGGAAGGCCATGTTCTAATAATAACCACCTTCTTAGCTGTTAAGCGTAGCACAGAGGAGAGGAAATGCACATCTGTGTCTGTGTAAAACATCCATAGATGCAAATGTATTTTCCTTCGCGTATTAACAAGCTCCTATTTGTATTTTGCATCATCAAGCGACATCTACAAAGCTTAGCCTAGAATACTTCTCTCACACACACACACCCCATCATGCCCCCAAGACGTCTTTTTTTAACTCAGAGCTCTAGAAAACAAGAGAAGTGTGCTGGCCTGAATACAGCTAGAAATCAAGACTAAAGGAAAAAAAAAGCCTTATGCTTGAAGGAATTGCACCTGTGGGAAGCAGCCTGGCTGGCACGGGAGCCACAGGAAAGCCAGGGCAGAGAACTGTCTGCCATTGCAGGGGGAAAGGTGCTCAGGCCTTGGAAAAATCGGAAAAACGGGTTCTAAAATTCTGTATGTCTGTGGGAAGAGCTGGGCTGTGGGGGACTGGAACACCTTGGGAGAACACCGGCTGGGAAGTTATGGACGGGTGCATTTTTTTCCCCAGTGTTCAAGAAGCAGGGGTTTCCTTAAACTTGAAACCACCTCAGTTCTGGGCTGACAAAACGCATCATTCACAACCTCAGAACACACAACTGGGACACTAAACACCCTCCCACAACGCAGAAAGCCAACCCTGCGTTTCTCCACTTATTTTAACAAAAAAAACAACCTGTGCTTACCTTTCTCTCCTGCTGGCCTTTGTAGCACCAGCCCCGTCAGACAAGGCCTCTGCTGGGCCTGATGGCCGCCCTCACCTGTGGCTGCTTTTCTGGGGAAGGAATATTTGCATGAAGAGGTGCCCATTTCACCCTCCAGCCTGCTTGAGGCCTGCTAGTGGCAGCCGCCGATTGAAACGTTAAAATTCAAGCTTTCTGCAGGCGCCTTTCCTTTTTTTTTTTTTTTGAAGGTGACCGAGCAACACCCCTTTCTCCCCCTTCCATTCTCAGCGTTAATCACTTGCTGCAAATATTTATACTAATCAGAAAATAGCTAATACATCTTAATTACTGGCAGCACCTCAGTTCCACCAGGGCTCAGCAGGGGCGAACCAGCTGTAATTACTGAGCCCTTGCTGACAAAGATTATTTTCTTCCTAGCAAAACCACTTTGAAATCATTTTGAGCTCTTACATGACCCTGCTGGGGAGAAGAGAGTTGAGGAATACTGGTCTGTGTGATACAGCAAGTTATCTGTAGAGGCTAATTTGGAAACAAGGAATTTTTTTTCATTTAAGGGTATTACCAAGGGTAACAGATCAAGGCACCACATGGTTTTGTTTCCAGAGAACCTCTACATGAGAAACAGACAGTAGAAATGATTGTGCCACCATAGTCATTAAAAGTAAACTTCTGAAAAAACCTCCTTCTCCACCACAGCTATTCAAACTCTATGTCACAGGAAATACACCTTTATTTTTCCCTTTCATATAAATGAGTAGAAGTCAGTATTGCCTACAGGACTAGGAACTGCATCAGACACGTTATGTGGCTCTCTCTAGTTCCTTATAGCAAAGCAATTAACCCTTGTGTTTAACTTCCCCCAGCTACAAAAGGAAAAGGGTCAAACCTGCATTGTACGGACAATGGGGGACTTGCACAGAATTTCATAGTTATATAAATGTTTATTTATTACAAATGTAAATATGGCACATCAATACTTATTGCTTATTTATCAGCATGCACAAATATTGCACAACTTCTTTTTATGTTAAGGGTAACAAATCCACAGCTAAAAAAGCAATTTATTCTGTTCAGCAAGGACCAAAAGAGCCGGGGGGTGTTTGGATGTTTGGCCACAGTCCTGCGGGGAAATTTCCCCAAGCGAGTCATGTCAGGGAGTGGAGGGTCTGGGTTGAGCACAGGAGGTGCAGCGAGGTCTGCACTTAAACAACTGCCAAAGAAGAAAACATGACCTTGCTGCCTTTGGGCTCCCATGTAATCCATTTACACAATGAACCACTTGTGCACAGTAATCATGCGCTGCTTTAGCACAGCAAAGTAATGCAGATTGCGCCTGGAAGGTTTTTCATTAAATTGCTCTTGACTAGAAAGCACTTAAATGTTTTCCTCCAATGGGTGTATAGGTGACACTAAGCACAAGTTAGAAGCTGATGGGAAGAAATGGACCACAACCAGCACGCTGAGAGTCCTGGCCTATGGGCCCAATTCGACAGTGAGCTGCGTCGCCCGCCACCAAGCACTAGGAGAAGAGAAGCTGATGGCATCTTTCCGGTTTGAGGATCTCCCTAGGCTGGGTACTGCAGGCTCCTTCAGCAGTGGCTATCCCATTTTACCCCTCTGAGATGGTGAAAGTTATGCAGATACACATGCAAAGCTGAAGCCCATAAGTGTATTTTTAAGTGAGAGGGCTACCTGGGGCAAAAGAAGAACACCTAACTAAGATTTGGGGGCTTTTTCCTGCTTCTTAACTACCTTAAAATTCATTAAACATTAAGCTACAGTCACCCAAGCAGGTCAGTTCCCCGGTGCTGCTGCTAGAATTCAGGTGATGTTTGTCCTAAAGCTTTAAACACAGTGCAAGGTTTATCTTCTCAAGAAGCTGTGAGCTTCCCATCTGCTGCATATTAGACACATCCACCTGGAAAGCAAACAGGGTGTAAATATTGTAAATTAACAATGAAGCTGCTTGTCTAATAATTCTTGAGTTTGCCTTCTGCCCATCTCCTCATCCTTAGGATAGATCTATTCTTACCTTGTTCTTCCTTAGTTTGCATGATTCAACAAATGGTTCTGCTCTAAGAATTGTACTGTTGTTGGGTTTTTTCAGTGACAAATCCTGCACCAGCAGTGCCAGAGGCGGATACACGTGTCTCTGAGAACAAGCAATCTACAGGCAGGCATTAATTGCTCGGCCTTTTTTAAATTAATACACAGGTCAGATAAATACAGCATCTGTCACAGAAAATATCGTACAGTGCCTTTACCTAGAGCTGGGGCTGTGAAAGAGCAGTTGCCATCAGAGCTGGGGGATATTTTGCTCAGCCTTCAGAACTGCTTTGTTTTTTCCCCTAGTGACCACAGCACAGTCAGATCTGAACTGCAGCACGGCCTCCGCTCCAAGCTCCCCACAACACACTGGTAAGGGTTTCACTTTCTTTTTTCCCCTCATTTCATAGCATTAAATATGTTCAGAGCTAAGGGTGGGAGGGTAGGACTGTAAGTCTAACCACAGATCAGACAGAGCACCCAAACAGTCCGGAGCATGAAGCACACCAGAGCAGTTCCCTTTTTCATGAATCAGTTCAATGGCAAAGTATCTCTTCTGATTTTTGTCTTGTGTTTTGGGGTGGGGGTTTCCTTTAGGATCCGACCAACCAACCATCCCTTCTGCAGTGCCAGAGGATCCAGTAGTAACTAAGTCAATGTCAACACCAACCCGGCAAATCCTCCAACCCGATGTCACATCTACGTGTAAGTTGGGTCTTAGTTACATGAATTTACCAAACCAGGACAGAAATGCTACTGAGAACAGAGTTACATTCCACTTTACAAGAAAGCGCGTAACACAAAACACGGCGTTTCTTGCTTGGGGCGGAGAGAGCCCTCAGTTTTATAGCCATGAAAGCAAAGTCCCCATAGATGCAGAACATCAGTGGTCAGACCAGTGGCTGTCACAGGCTGGGCTTTCCTGTGAAGGTTGCACTAGGTGGCACTGTGCAACTGCGGTTCTCTCTGCACAGAGCAGGCTGCAGGTCCCAGATGCTGGGCTGAGGAGTTGTTCACAGCAGAATGATGAGCTCCACTGCCCAAATGGGTTGGTCAAAACCCACCAAAGGTGCCAAGGTGCCTGCTTGGTGTGACTGGCCCTGCAGTGAAAAATCGATCGGCTGAACTCTTTGTTTATGTATGTTTAAAAGTGCTACACCAGTGATTACAAACATCACAGAATGGCTACATCCTTATAAACAATTTGTATGTACGTTGATAAACATAGATTGAAAGCTTGAATCTTTCAACAGGACTTTCACTAGGTGTGCTTACATAGAATCGTAGAATAGTTTGGGTTGGAAGGGACTTTTAAAGGCCATCCAGTGCAACCTCCCTGCCATAAGCAGGGACATCTTCAGCTACATCAGGTTGCTCAGAACACTGTCCAACCTGAACTTGAGTGTTTCCAGGTACAACCTCTCTGGACCAGTGTCTCACCACCTTCATTGTAAAATATTTCTTCCTTATACCTAGTATAAATCTTCCCTCGTTTAGTTCTCCTATGAATGTAAAATTTTGGTAGTAAAATTTTGGTAGGCACAGCATGCTTTATCGTTTTAACAAATCAATGTTAACGATATATTGTCTGTATGGATCAGAAAGTCAGAACTCACCTGTCTGTCTGCACAGGGTCTGAAGTAACATCAGCTGCAGCAGGAGAGGAAGAATTGGCTGGTTCATCGAGTTACCACGTCCCCAACGGTACGACCTCACATCATCACACATGGCATGGTGGTGGCAAAGGACGGGGATTCTTACACTGGGTGACTGCACCACTGTGAGCTATGAAGAGAGTAAAATAGTAGTCAAGGATATGAATAAATTAAAAAAAAAAAAATCTCCCTTAAGGAAAAGCATCCATGCTTCTTCCCACTTTCGCAAGCAAAAAGGAAAAATATGCATTTCTTAAGCATTCCTTTTCTCTTCAGAGAAATACTGTTCCCCTTTCCATTCCTCCAGGGACTGAAACAGCATTATTCAGTGGCAATGTCACAGAAGAGGAACTTTCCAGCACAGAAGCCTCACTACCAAGTGAAAATGCAACTGTGATTTCCATCGTCACCTTCGGTACGAACTCTTTAGTGACAGCTTCCAAACATGCCACAAGCTTTTCTTACACCAGGCTGGTTCTCTCTGGCCACGTATCTACCTCCAAACCTTTTGTCAGTACAGCAGGGTAATGCTGGCTTGCAGTCTTAAGGAGAGACCACAGAAACACAAGCATTTTTATCATCTAGAAAAAGCTAAATTTTACTGATTGTTATGCCAGAGCATGAGTCCACTGATTTGAATACATTCTTATTGTTCATACAAGAAAAAATTTGACCTCACATCCTAAAATTAAGTCAAATAAAGTGACTTCTGCTCTCCTACCATGTTCATCTGGCCTGGTCCAGGATCTATCATTCTTGTCTTAATTACCAGAGACTCATAGGAAGCTATTTAACAACACAAACATACACCTCCCTCTTTTACAGAGCAAGATCTGAAGTCTGAAGGCATCAAAAAGAAACAGAGTAACCTCCTGCTGCCAATCTTGGTGGCTGCTCTGATTTTCGTGCTGCTCGTCATTGTCCTGCTTTTTATGTGGAAGCTGAAAAAAGCTCATGGAGTGTGGAAAAGAGGTGGGTGATGGCTCTGTCCGAGCAACTGCTGACGCTGCTTTATCCAGGGGGGCTGGAGAGCTGAGGAGTCTGTTAAACAGAGACAGGATTTGACTCCTCCAGCCACTGATTAAATGTCCTTCTCCCATAGACAGTGACTGTGACTTGTTGCAAACAACTGCTGAAGAGTGCCTGTAACTGACAGCCTTGGGCCACACTTCAGCTGACACAAAGTGCCACAAAAGCCAAAAAAATTGTCTTAGGCATCTCTCTTAGATGATCAGGGCGATTGAATGCCCATTTTATAACTAGTCTCTCAGGATTTTTATGCTCAAGGCAGAGAGTGAGGAAGAGTGATGGAAAAATCTCTCATCATCTTAATTACATTTGTTTTCTGCACAGAAAATGATGCTTCAGAGCAGACACTAGAAAGTTATAAATCCAAATCTAATGAAGACAGTCCAGGCCACGAGAAGAATGGACAAGGTAAAAAGCTTTAACCAGCATAAACTAATTCCTATTAGGGCATTGCTACTGACCACAGCCAGAGCAGATTGCAGTCAGTCTTACTATATGGAGATATTTACAAATTGCACATTTTAAAGCTGAATATTCTAAACCCAAACCTTTCATACCTGGAGGTCCACCACAGATATTGTAGCTTCAGAAAGAGTGATGTGGAACTGAGTGATGTACAAAATGAAAGTGAAAATCATTTTCAGCAGATGAATAAGCCCAGATGAAAAGAATGAGGGATCTTTGCCACCATCTTTGAACATGAGTTTCTTGCAGCTCCTAACAGTATTAAAAGAAAGGGGGCTTGTAATTATTGTCAAAATATTTTCAAAAGTTTCCTTCTTTTTGAAATATTTTGCACTACGAAATATTTAAACCACTTCTTGTACAAACTAGTGCCTTGAGTACTGTGCAACTTGCATTAGATCACATCATGCATCTCAGTCTTTGCTGCCATGGATGCCCTAACAATTCCTAGGGATGCATGTCATCTTTTATCATTCTACAACAGTCTAATTAATATGTATTTCAATCAGGTACATACACCCCCTTTAAAAAATCAGTAATAAATGTGTGTTTATCTTTCAGTTGCCAATCAGAAGTCCAACGTGCAATACGTAACAGAAGAACGTGTGGAAACAGCGCAGAAGAATCCAAGAGACAAAAACATGGCAATCAGTGAGAAGCTGTTCAGATGTGGGAGGGAAACGAACGTGTAGCAACGGACAGAAACACCACTGTTCCCTGATACTGATCATCCAGCCTTCAGATGTCAGAATGATTTCAAGGAGCAGAAGTACAGTCAGCAACCCTCAATCCAAAAAACAATTGGGACTGCTTTTCCTTAAGCTGTGGGGCAGGTAGATGGGACTGGTGCTCCTAGAAACCTATTAGCAATGGACACTGATTTACCTGTAATCCTCAGGGGACTTAATTAACCACTGCCAGAAACAGACCTCATCAATCCCTGTCAGGAGCCCCATCAGGTCCTATCAGCAATTAGGGTCCTGGCAAGGGAACACGCAATTAGCCCCGAGGCCTGCAGGATACGAAGATATTCATGGGATGCTTTGGCCACCTCCTCCACAAGCGTGGAAGCTGCAAACCAACTGGGACTTGCATTATCTCCTTCTTACCCCATACCTGGACATCCAGCTGGATTTCACCAAGCAGGACAGCACCCTGATGTCCAAAATATTTTAAAAAAAGAAGGTTGTTCCCCCTGGATAGGACTTTGCCTCAGTTCCTCACCTGCACAACGGTAACATCGTGCTCTGCTGTGCATCAGCACCAGTCTCTGGGGGGGCTCTGGCACCAAAACATGTGGGTGCTACAGTCTCTTATGTCCCCTCAGGGGTGTCACTGAGGGTGTGGAAGTCTTCAAAGGAGGGTTCAGCAAAGGCGAAGATGGAGACTGATGGGACTCCCCAAATCCAGGGACAAACTGCGAATGGGCGAGCGAGGAGAATCGCTGAGATGCAGATCTACATCTGCAGATCCCTGTCACGCCGCCACCGGGAGCCTTTTCTGTTGCAGAAAGATAAGACTGAATTCCTAAAATAAAGGAAATTTACAGAAATACAACAGAAACCGGCATGGATTTTTTTTTTTTCTCCTTATAGATTGTTACTTCTCACTAGAAGCGAGGACAATGCTGAAAACTGGGGTTGAATCGGAAATAAAGAAATGCCCGTCAAGTGACCTCTAGGAATAATCTCATTTTTCGGCGGAAAAGGGTTTCTCCCGCAGCCCCTCGCCAGCCCGGGCGCTACCACCCTCCCCGCTCTC